CCACCTGAAGAACTTCATTACCTACCGTAACGAATTTGTAATACAGTGACAGCAAATAAGACATATCATAAGACATACATCTATATCGGGACAAATGGAAATGTGTTGGGCAGAGGAGAGCAGCGGGCCGCTGAATGTAACCTCCCCCGGTTAGATATACTACTGGTTCCCCGCCGGCAATTAGCGCGCGCATATGGAGATATCCAGAAGAACCCACTGACTGGACAAAATAGACTTCCTTCCCATTACCGGGTCTTAAGCCGGTTTCCTCCTTCTTATGCCGTTAATTCTGCTCTCATATCACCTAAAGCTGTTCAACCATACCCACTTGTACCACTACAGCTTCATGTCCATTTTCTTATTCCGAAACTCACGATAGGAGCTAGGCATCAAGAGGACTTACTTCATCCTCATTTGTAAGTCAGCCATTGGTTATGAGAACAACGGTGTGGTTTTGTTCCAACTATGGAAGCTACCTGTTCAGACATATCTAATCATCCCGAATCAAGCATTGCCGTCATGGTCCGGATACCAATAAAGATGCGACTAGGCGGCTGTGTCAACGGAATTTGCGAAGAATGCGGTCGAATAGACTTCAGAACCATTTTCCAATGTGAAGGAGATCAGCTATTGACCAAGACCGACAGCGAACCCTACTATCCCATCAAAGACAACTCGCGGTGCATTCTTGGAAGAGTTTCTTTGAAGAACATAGACACTTGTCCATTATGCGCCTTCTTTGACGACTGCTATCCAGATCGAACCCCTAACCAAAAGCTCGGGGTTTATTCAGGCTCCCTCTCCGACATTTGTGGATATGATGACATCCCGCGGAACTTGGATTCGATCGCACTGTATCTCGTTGAAGGCGGATCAGCGAATACTTCCTTCAGATCGCCGCTAATTGTAGCACCCAAGTGCATCAATCAACCCAAACTTGCTGTTACTTCCGAGCATGCGGATGATGATGATGATGAGCATTGCAAGCATTTAGGGGGAAGAGAAATACGACCAGATGTGATTGATTACGATGTCATTCGCGAATGGCTGGATATGTGCTCATCGACGCATTCTGGATGCGTGGACGGACATTTGTCGTTGAATTTCAAGGACCTACCCGAATTTCGCCTCATTGACTGCTCGACGGGAACCATGATTCCGGCTTTTCAAGCTCGCGAACGAGAATATGTTACGCTCAGCTATGTCTGGGGGCCCGCTCCGGTTGTTAGCAGCCCGACAAAACCCTTTGGTTTGCCGGACGAGTTGCCACATGTGGTGGCAGACGCAATAAAGGTGACAATGAACCTGGGTTACAGATATCTCTGGGTCGACCGATACTGTATACCACAGGACAACGCCAAAGCCAAGCAGCGTCAGATCCAAAACATGGGAAAGATCTACTCTCGCTCGGCGTTAACAATCATAGCCGCGGCAGGGGAAGATTCAGAATACGGGCTTCCGGGCGTCAGCTGTCGTAAGCGAATCACGCACCATCTTGCCCTCGACAATGGTCGACTACGACTTTCGACCATCCATCTCGCAAAGTTCGACATCACCCCTTCAAAATGGAACTCACGCGGCTGGACATACCAAGAAGGTATCCTCTCTAGACGCCGTCTCGTTTTCACCGACCATAATGTCTACTTCCAGTGCGAGCGCGCCTACACCAGCGACGACATCCGGCTACCTCTAACAGGGCGTTTCCACACTTCCAATGCTCTGGATCCCAACCACGAGATCATGCCTTTCCTGTTTTCCAAGGACCAGGAAACCAGTTCTCACGCTTGGTACACAATTGGAAAATTCGCGGAGCGAAATCTCACCTACGACTCTGATGCGCTGGACGCCGTTGCCGGCGTGCTTCACCGGTTCCCGCCCTCCACTGTCCGGTTCTTGTGTGGACTGCCAATTACCGTTCACCCTGAGTGTCCTTCCCCGCCGCCGGATACGGCAGGGGTACAGGTTCCGAAGGGGTGTCTTGCGATGTCAGACTTACTGGTGTGTAGACGTACCTCTACTGAGAAGGCCTCCAATATGACCTCCAACCACAACAACCTCTATTCCCAAAGCGACATAGGCCGAGCCGTGCTCGTCGACGCCCTCCTCTGGCAATGTAAATGGTCCGCCACAGCCACCTCCTACTGGCCCCAACCTCACACTTCCACCTCCAACTCCCCTCGCAGATCTGGTTTCCCCAGCTGGACCTGGGCCGGCTGGAAAAGCACCAACGAGCGCATGATCAAGTTCTCCGGTTCCAACTCGGGCTTACGCTGTCCAAGGAGTTGGGAGAGACCAGGCCGGGATGGCACCAAAAAGGACATTGAGTTTCTCCCGTGCACCATAAGTGTCTCTCTCTCCGGAGTCTCTGGGGACAAGGGGGGTATCCGATCTACTAACAAAAAGCCAAAACCGTCCAAACGGCTCCTCAAATGGCCAGAAGCCAGTAAACAGATCCTCAAATTATCCGACCAAGGCAAGCTCACCAACAGCCGCTTAATCATCAAGGGAAGCGTGTTCGATGTCAAAGTGGCTATCAACAAGAGGAACGGCGCAGATCTCCCTCCAGCAGGTAAATGGAGCGATGACGGGTGGAAAATCACTTGGCCTTCCGCGCTGGCTGGGAGTCCCGTCGAGGTTCCCCCTGGTTTACTGGAGGAGTCAGAAACCCACGACCTGCTGGCGGTGCTTTTCAGACGAGGCATAGCTGATCTCGTCCCCGAGGGATTCCTGGATACACTACCAGCAAGGAATCGGGCTAAAGTGGCGGCACTGTTGAAGAAGGCTTCGGAAGCGTCATCGCTGCCTCGGGGTCGGATTGAAGTGGGGTGTTTTTTCCTGCTTCTGCGCCCAGTGGAGGAGGAGGGTGTCGTCGGTGGGACGGTAGTATACGAGCGGGTTAGTTCTTGTGACGCTGTTATGTTGTTGAACCACAAAGAGGCTGTAGGAGAGCATCAGATGGAAGAGGCTGATCGGTTACTTGGGGTTAGGACGATGGAGGTGGTGATACGTTGATGTGATGGTTGAGGAGGAGTTTAGCATGGTGCTGTGAATTTGCTGTGCGGGGATCACCTTGACGATATCAAACTGTCTTCTTTTGGTTTTATTCTATTCACTTTTTCTTGTTTGACCTCTGTGGCTATGTTCGCATTCGCGGTAGGCCGCTACAACCTGTGGTATGACTGAGCCTTCGTGCCTTCTTCATTCGCCTGGGTGGCGCAAGGGCAACCACGGGAGCGTTACGGGCCCATGCCGTTCCGAGAATGGGGAGAATGGGGATGGGTTCTGATAGCTTTCAGGGTTTGGCACTTAGAACGCACGACTCGCTCTCTCCTCTTTTGATCCAACAATATATCTCATAGATTATGGACGGTCCGAAAGGACCAGCGCCGGTACTCTATTGACAGTCCATCAACGCTATCAGCTACTGTAAGGTACACCTCATTTGCTAGATTTTACCTCTCTGGGGTCGTAAGGACATATGTATGCACGAAGTCGACGAATTTCCACATCCTTTCAAATACAGCATATCAATCTCTATTAACCGAGCGAGGGTGTAGTGGGTATTGATCTAACCATGACTGCGTTGCACAGCACTGCTCATTCATCGTCTGCATAGGTTTGAGAAGCACTAGACGTTACCTATGTACAGACAGATTGTGACAAGACGTAGGTCGATCCTTCATACAACAAGACCATATCCAAAATGTCGCCCTCGACGTGCCCTCGAAATATCCTCTATTGCTTGCTGAGTCCACTTTTATCCAATGTGAGGAACATACCGAGACCACTGAGGCAACTGATATGCCGAGTCCGGTAAGTGCGCGAGGTTGATGAACGAGATGACGACCAAGTATATGCGTGCCAGGACGTAAAGCACCATGAATAAAATTGTGAATATGTCGCGCAGGACTTTGAGAAGGTAAAGAAGAAGTATTGTCAAAGGTAACAGTAAAACATAAGGGAGAAGGAGCGCCCACAATGCCGTATCGCAGAGTACCTTGACAAGCCTGTTGTTCTTATAGAGGGGTTGTCGCTTAACAAGCCTCTCCAGCATTGTAGCGAGTTTAGCCCCGGTGCACCATGAAAGAATGATGCCTAAAAGACTGCCTTTTCTGGAAGTGTCACCCAGAAAATCGTAAATATCCCATATTGTATGACTTTGTTCGTGCCAGAAGGGCGGGAGCTTGGTCCAAGAAAACACGCAAGCAACCAAAACACCTGTCGCGGCTATGGTGATGCTCGAAATCCTCCAGAGAATCCGTTCGACGCTGGTAGTGAACGGCGCGTTCCAGGCCACGCAATGGAGCCCGCCATAGATGAGACCTACGACTCCAAATCCAATGAAGAGTGGAATGTTATGATCGTAGTCTTGAAACCGGGGCAGGTTGCGAACCCGGTCAGTGAACGTGTCTTTTGGCGGAATCATATGACGATGCGGGGCGTGTTTGAGAGTTAATTGCCATCTGATGATGTCAGAGTACCGAATAACGATACAAAGCATCTCAGCTGTAGATGCAGAATTTGGCGAATAATCTTCGGAACGGAATGCGCTGGAAGGTCTCTCTTCGGCTGAATTTCGCGTGTGTAGTTGGGTTTGTAGTTCGATGGCGCTCTCTTTGTCCCTTACGTTAACTGATCTAGAAACGATGAATTCTTCGGCCGAATGTTGTAGGATTCGTCGTAGTTCGATAGCGCTCCAATCTCTATCCCTTTCGTTTTCTGATTTAGTGCGTATAACATCATGCTTCTGAGGACGTAATCTGGCCTTTTCAAGGAGGGCAGAAGATTGTTTGACGTGTAAGTAGAGTATAGGGCTACGAGCAGACTTTTGTCAATCATTTTCTGGAAAACATAAAAATGGAATGGCAGGGTGTACCATTCAAGGACTCGAGCAGAATATCCTTGAGAAATGGAACTTACGTTTCTACTGGTACAACACCAAGCAGGATTTGCCCGTAAACGTAGTGAATTCTTTTCGACGGCAGTCCGGACAAATCAAAATGACGACCAGACCCTTCCGTGCTGCGATAGAGGGGAAAGGTGAACATCTCGTCATCGAAGTGGAGATGATCCAATTCCGCGGTCTTCTTGTCCAACCTGCTCGCAGAGCACATAGCTGCAATGAGCTTGGCCTTTTCCAGCTCTTACCGCTTCGTGCTGGGGTGGATCAAGACCGTTTCAGGCTCGACGATGTCGAGGGGTTTATTCCACCATAACGCATAAATAAACAATGTACAAATTGCATGACCGAGTGTGTTGAGCTCGAGGAGACTGATTGCTAAGCCTTGCGCAAATCGTGTGAGGCACTGGATGCAAAACCAGGATGCTAGCAATTGAATACCTCTTAGCTTGGAAAATAAGAATGCAAAGGGGCTCAAGTACGAACCTTGGATGCAGACAAGTGTTTTGGCGAAGGCGCTTGCTTTGCTTTTGTCTTTTATCCTGTTCTCGGACAGATCAGGAATCAGCTTTTCATAGCCATGTTCCTTCAAGAACTGTAACCCCTTTGGAGTCAATGTGAGCCGCGTGCGCTGTCGTTGACTCTTGTTAATGGTGAGTCGTTTGCGTTCTCATTGAATTTTAGTAACATCCTGGATTGGAAGGAAGTTCGCGATTCTGTCTGCAACATTGATTTCAGGATCATTATCCCGAATCTCTATCGCAATGCCTCCCATGGCCGCCAGGAATCCATGTACCATGGTCCACTTTTCAACAGTGTGAACTGTGGTTGAAGGAGGATCCTATTGTCAGGTTGAAAATCAGCATATACAAATCCTCGAATTGTCGCGTGATTGACCTGAATATTACCTCCTCGTCGTTTCTAAGGCGTCGTGATAGACAGGGTAGCCAGGACGTCATAATGTCTGTGATACCCTTTTTGCGGGATGGCGAGTCATCGTGACAGAGTGAATCACTTTCGCAAAACGAGTTCCTGCCAAAAAGCAAGTCCAAGCCATATGACGAGTCACTATCACTGTCGTGCCTCTTTTTCTGCTTATTCATTGTTCTGACAAGTAACGAAGCCTGCCCATATTGCTGATAGGCCGTATAGGCAACCTGTACTTGAATTAGCGATTCTGGACATGTGAATGTGATGCCACGGAATAAACCAGGAAGGAGCAGTGATGCTGTTGATTCTAAGAGTATTTTCCTGGGTAGGTACAGTATCCGACCTTCACTCAAACACACAAGAGGCGTACCTGCCCAGCCGGTACTGCTTTTGTTGGCACGTCCTTGGTATAGCATTCGCGATACATGTACATAACGAAGAAAGAAAACAATGAATGAACTTACAATCTCAGGACTCAACAAACTAAGCATCAACCACCCAGTCTTTCGCATCAGCTGCTTCCAACCAGGTTCATTGTGCTCGGGCACATTCAAGTGTATCGCCGTCCAAACACACAAGCCGAGAGTGACCAGACATACGGACAGAATGCTGAAAGTTCCTCGCGTGCCCGGTTCTGGAACCCAGTTAGGATCGGAGGAGTTGGTGAAGCTGTGGCCAAAGATTTCGTTGCCCATGGCGCGGCAAAACTAGAATGTTCGGTGATGATAATGATTTAAAGATAACGGAGGCAAAAGGACGTTGATTTCCAAAAGTCGGGTTAAGGACGAAGAAGTGTGACAGGGGATTTCCCGTGAGGAAGCTATAGGGCGCCAGATAGCCTTTGAGGGAAGTAGCAGGCTGTTTGGACGGCTCGCTACCCTTATATATAGGGCCCATCAACGGGGCCTTGAGCTTGCTCAAGCAGTTAGATCAACCAACAAGACATTCATCATCCATCGGGTGCTACGCTGATCCACGCATCAAAGTGTGTCGGGGAGAAATTCTGCCATTAACAACCAACCAACACTTTGGGAGGCAAGTGGAAGGTACCTAACCATCATGGCACCTTCCCCCTCTTTTTCCCCGTCCTCGGCCGCCAGATCAGAATGGAAAAAAAACTCACGAAAACTTCTGCTATTTCGATAGGTCAAGCGTTAGCCAACGATCACTTGCACAGGGCACACCAGTCTACTCGATAAGGGCGTGGGCACGTAGAGGTAGGTACATACCTGCCCAACTCTCGAACTCAGCCGCAAAAATAATAGGCGATCGGTGTTTCTTTTTTGTTTTTTTGGTGGCAGTTGCGTCCACGTGTACACAGCCTGCACTATCAGACAGTAAGTGTGGACCAGCAAAGCATATTCGACAAGGCTGCGTGAAAATTCCGAGCCCATTGGTCCCCCTCACGAACAGATAACGAACACCAATGCACCTTCGACAATGAAAGATATGGACAGAATACCGTATCAGAAAGAGGAGAGAGGGGGGGGGGGGGGGGGGGGGGG